AGTTTGAGATTTAAAAAAAAAAAAAAAAAAAGCAAAAACCAAAAAAACTACAGTTTGTTACAGTCTCACACCACATCAACTGTATATAAACAATTTTACAAAAACAGCTTCAATCCTAATTATATTCTGAACATACTGAATATTTATTTAACATTTAAAGTTAAGTTCATTAGGCTTTTATTCTCCAGCTAATATTCTTAAGGCCCAACAAACTATTGAAATAAAAATAATTAGAAAATCAAGTTGTTCTTTTGCAGGAAACTGAGTAGAGTTCTTTTTCTAAGGACTATTCAAACAGGAAAATTTTGCTATTTAATATATTTATATAATTATATCTTTTACTTTCTTTCCTTTCATATAGGTGGTAGAAATAGTTTCTAATACTCAATAGATGAAACAGATCACAAACTAAAAAACTGAAAATAAGGTACCACAAGTAATAAAAGAAACAAAATAATTCACCCATAACATACGGATTTACATTAGGATATTACAGATCCAGTTTATTAAAATCCCTTTCCATTAATGGTTTGAGAAGGAAAAATAAAGTATTGTAATGTGTTCATAAAAAGTAATGAGATTTAAGAAAAACTACTTAAAATCAGATTTTAAAATGCATACTTGGTTATCTAGAGAATTTAAAAGCCCAAATATGATTAATAAAGTTTTTTCACGCTTTACATTCACACCAACTTACAAAAGAGTTATTAAATATAAACAACAAAATGGAACAAATAATAAAATAGGTACTTGAAGAGACAACTCTGACTACTTCTGCCTTAAGAGGCAGTCCAAAATCTGTTATCTTAACCTGCTAATATTCCAGGAAAAAATGCACTATCCACAGAAAATGAGAAGAATTAACTGAAAGGAAATTATCAGCAAGTACCTATTAATTATCAATGTATTACTAACAGGCCCTCTTCTAGAAGAATATACCTATGGGATAAAATTGCCCAGTAAGAATGCATTATGCTCCTTCAAGAAATTATTTAAATTTAGGTAAAAGAAGAATATCAAACAGTCATCAGTTCCACCCACCAACAAAGTTACAACTTTCCAATATTCTATATTAGCTATAAAAAATACACAGCTGGTCTTTTCCTGCCAATAGGAATAAGTAGAACAGAGCCCAGAGCTCCCTGGAATGGGAAAAGGAAACAAAGAAAGAGCAAAGTGGTTAAATTCTTGGTCTGCTTTTCATCCAGGTATTTCAAAACACAATCTTCTTGCTGGAACTAAGAATCAAATATTCTTGATATTATTATCAATAACATACTACTGGTCAATTCAAATTTCAGGATTTTTTAAACTTTTGAAATTCCTTAAGTTACAAAAACACACCTAAGCTAGCTGAAATTCCAGAAACTCTTAGAGCCTATTAGAAAGAGACCATGCACTAACTGCTGATGTTTTTCTCCTTTGCTCCCTCGATAATCTGCAGTGTAGTCTACTCAAATTCAATTTGTTTGCAACTTTGTCCCAAAAGTATGGACTACTAATTTTCTAAGTAAAATCATTTATTTCAAATCAGTATGCGTAAGCCATAAAATAACAGCTATCAATAAGGTACATTACATAATGAAAAATATGAACCAGGAAGTTGTGTGTGTGTGTATCTATTGCACAGTATATGGAATATGTATATATGCACATATATGAAATATGTATATGTGTATATATGGAAATATATATGTATATATGTATATACATATATACATATTCCATATACTGTGCAACTATATTTTCAATGTCTACCTACTTGGAATCTTTGAAAAAAGCCATCCTTGTAACATTCTCTATATAGAAATCGGGTTTAAAATCATCACATGGTATGTATGTGGCAAAGTGAATAGAAAGAATGATAAATATATGAATTAAAGTTATCCAATAGCTGGTCCACTTATTTAAGGTAGAACTCTTTTAAAAAATAACAAAATAGAGTGGAGAGAAATACATCAGAGCAGGCTGCCATGATCCCAGCCCCAATCCTCTCAGTAGTAAAGGACAAAAAGACACATACAGATGAGCTTGATAAATTTAAAATATACCATAATGCCATAACAAAATTACTATATTAGTTCTCATTTATCTTTATAACCTATAAATGAAATTTACTGTACAAAGGCAAGCCTGAATTTCAACTACTGAAGACAATCTTACAATATCTATGGTCTTTTTGCATGACATAGTTGCAACATGAAATCAGAAATAGATGTAGAAAGATGAACTATTAAAAAGATTATCACACACTTAAATTTTCTGAGTAAATAAAAAGATAGTAATGGCTTCACATTCATAAAATCTTATGCTTTGCTGCTGCTGTCAAACTATAACTTATTCATCTGAGACCCCCGAGGGAAAGTGAAGAGAAAATCCCTCCATGGAAGGGAAGGGTGTTACTAAGCAACCAGTATTACAAACTTGAGGCACATGGTAAAATGGTACTTTCTTTCCCCACTACTGTCTTTTCAAGGCCATAGAGAAATAATGCATCATTGTGGGCTCAGCTGAGTTTTTCTGTTGCAGTTTTTTTGTTTTTTTACTTCTTTAAACGTTGAGCTTGAATCTCCCAATAAGGCATATGTAAGAGTATATTGACTGAAACTATTAAAAGCAGGTTATCCAAATTGAAGGAAAAAAAAACATGATGCTGGAAAGCTGGCAGTTGTATCATGTCAGCGTCACCTCCGTCTTCTTTGATCTCGACTCCTCCAACAGTGCTGTTTCAATCTTTGTATCACAGGAGTTAGAAATACTACTCCACTTCTGCCCAGCACATAGCACTGGGTTCCATATTTTAAGGCAAAACTGAAGTCTCATGCCATAAGAACAATCACTTAGAGAACATTTGGCTTTCTCCAAGGTTAATAGTTTACAAGGAAAAGGTATAACAGGTTAATTGATTTAAAATATTTCCTCTCCTGGGGCCAAATATGTCCTTTATCAGACACAGGCATGAAAATAATATATACAAATGGCAAGAGACTAAATATTCTCACCTGCGGAAACCAATTATAATCACCTAGATGAACAATATAAATAAAACAGTGGTTCTAAACAACCCTCAGCTCCAGAGTCACCTTTCAGTTAGCTTCCTCTCTTCAGAAAATGGTCAAAATGTTCAGTTTACATTTATTCCTAAATCTGACCATGAAATCAAGCTTCTTCAAGTTGAAGCCAACAAAGGTTTATACAGCTTAATTAGGCCAAAGGCACTAAAAAAAGGTTCTGTCCTCATAATAAGAACATATGACTAAATCATGAAAGTATTTAAATTCCCCTTTTAACATTTACTCAGAAAAGGTAAATATGTTCACAATTTCTTTTGAAGACTAGAATTACCAGTCTTTTGAAGACTGAATAGACCATGAAAACGGCAGGATGTAGTATGACTGGCCCCAATTCTAATCCTTCAATCCCCTCTTCCATGAACACTAACCAGGCTAGAATTTTCAGTGTTTTCTAACAGCCTAGCACGGCTATTTCCTAAACTAAACTACAAGAAATCATACGGAAATAAGCCCAGATGCTAGTGACCAACCTGAAGAGTAGAAATTTAAAAAACAACAAGAAACTTACAGAAATACTTTCACATCAGAAATTCAGAAATTAACAGATTCAGGAAGTAAATGTAAGTCAGTCATCTTTCCAACTATATATGGCACCATCCTTAAGTAAGACTGGTCAAGTATACGAATGTATAAAAACAATTAAAACCTCAGAAATTGTGTCACCATAAGTTGACAAAATAATTCTTCTAGAAACTATTATCACCAATGTAATTTAAAAAATGACTGAGCTTTGTAGCATTCATCCTTATCAACCCTCACAACATCCCTGTGAGGTAGGTAGAAGATACGTGCTATTTTTCACATTTTACAACAGAAAAAGCTGACAGTGTTGAAAGACGCTGACTTTGAAGAACCAGAAAGTAACTGTCTATGTTAACAGGTCCATGACACTAAACCAAAACCATTTTACTTCATTAAAAATAAATTACTCTAAAATTAAACCTTCCATTTCCCACCCCCCCAAAAAAAAATCATTGTAGTTTACCAGTAATCTTGTTAAGTCGAGCTCTCTTTGCCTGAAATGAGTTGCCTTGATTATTTTTCCTCTTGTTTGATAATGTGCTCTCTGGCTGTGGAAAGACCATCTTTGGAACGTTCTCTACATGAAGTCCTACTTTTAATAGAACACATATATGAGAGTTTATCTAGAATCCAAAATTAAAACACATGATTTTTTAATAGCAAAATAGTAAAAATGTTTTTCACATTAGTTTTTTAAATCTACTACTTGATACAGACCTTTGAAAAACACAAATCCCTCCAGACTAGTATGTTAGAAATAAAAGACAACTAAAGCAGTTATTCTTAAAGCAGGAAGAAAATGACTTACTGCTTTTTCCGTATTACATATGAAGCATATACAGAAGCATATAAAAGGTTGAAGAAAAAACACAAAAGAAAAAATTTCAAACAAAAACCTGCTATCAAGAAGTTACAAATCAAAAGCTCAACCTATTTCTATTCAAGAATACTGAGGGCATCCAGTATCAAGTAACCCAAACTAGACTACTAATTTTCAGGTCTATCTGTAAAATGCTAGAAAAGTTAGCCATCATATTATGCTAGGGAAAAAAGCTTAAAAATTTAATTATACATTCAAAATCAAAGGGGCCAAGGGATTTGACTTTACTACATGAGTTTACCAGTGTCATAAGGAATTAACGTAAGAATGTATTTTGTACCAAATGTTTCACTAGATGTAGGCAGATCTTCCTTCTTCTCTACGTCTGGTGTGGCTATACAAGCTGAAGTTTCTTCCTTCTTTGAAGGTACTTTAAACCACTTTCTCTCATCTTTATCCTTATCTTTATTGCTGTTAGCGCTGGTTCGAGGTTTACTCCCTGTTTTGTTCTTGGCTGCAGCTGCAGCAGCTGCTTTGACTAAAGCTATCCAATCCTCCAAAGGAAAAACACAAAACATGTGAAGTATTAAAAATTAATTAAAATGTAATTACACTAATAAAAATATGTGTCACATTTTCAAAGCTATTTTCACATGTAACCAAACATAAATATAGAGAGAACAATATTTACATGATAGCTCAACATGGTAGGTTATCAAATTTAATAATTGAATGAGTTAGATTGTACAACCTCTCATAAAAATAGGAAGCACATTCAATAACAGGTATTCCAAGGATATATTTTTACAGGAGTTAAAATCTAAAATAGCAGAGGAAACCTATGGCAGATACGGAATACTACATGACATGCTACCTTAGTATTTTAGGGCTCAAATGTTGCATTCCATCTCTTTCCCATAATACAAAGGACTATAAAAGAAGGGAAAAATGCTATCTTGCAATTCTACAAAGATTAAAAATAGTGTATTCCCACCTACCAAATTGCTATTCCTTATTAGGATGAATGTACCATTCAAATTATAGTCAATCTCATAGAAATCAAGAAAGGTATGATTTTTATTATTTTCTAAAGCTACTGAAGTTCAGATAGCAATTTATCACAACAGCTTAATAATACTGATGAAGAAGAAAAGAGCTCCATTGACCAAGGTAAAGCATTAACTGTCAAAACTCCATATTAATTTATCTCCCCATACAACATCCTAGGTCTTTGTTTGGTATCATTCCTCTGAGGTGCAAATATTTATTTTTCCTGTGTTAGTTTGTTGTTAAATACATTTTACTATTGCAATTTTAACTAAAAATGCTTATTATAAAAAAAAAAGGTGTAAGGAAGTATAAAGTGGTCCTAACATTTTAATTTTCACAATCAAAATGTTTTTAAGACAAATATTTTAAAATAAATACAAATATCTCTACAAAGTGAATCTGCTGAGACCACTAAGCTTTGTCAAATAGACTACCAGTTCAGACTTACTCAAAATACTTTTAATCCCTAGTCCAAGCAACTAAAAATTTCACAACATCAAATGAATTTAATTCATGGTTTACATTAACAAATATAAGCAAAATAGGTTAATAAAATTAAGCAATGAACAATGTAGATTAACACTACTTTAAAAATATATGGTGAAAACAATAAGCCATTTAAAAAAAAATCTGTATTCTAACTCTTTCTCTCATGACTGAAATTAACTGAAAACATGTGATTGCACTTAACACATTCAATCATCAATTTTCTACTGAACACCCTGTCCTATATGCCAGGTACTAGGCTAAACATTCAGGAGACCGCAAGTGGTAAAAGACTGGTCCTGTTCATAAGTAATTCACGGGTAAATGCAATTAGCTATAAGCCGTGACAAGAGACGTACTAGAGAAATAAACAAAATACTATAGAACAGAAAAGAAAAGACTGATTTTGACTGAAGAGAAAGACTAATGCAAAGCTTCAGGGAAAATGATAGATGAGCTGAACCCTAAAGGTAAGTAGGAATTTCCCAGGGAAAGCGGTAGTGGAAAAGGAGAAAAGGTTACTCCAAGCAAAAGGAAAAACATTAAACAAAGGCCAGGAGTGAAAGTGTACAGGAAAGTGAAAGAGCGATGAAAGGTTCAAGGAGCAACATGGGTAGGTAAAAGCAGTAAAACATGGGTAAAACATGGGTAGGTAAAAGCAGTAAAACATGGGTAAAACATGGGTAGGTAAAAGCAGTAAAAACATGGGTTAGAAACATTGGGTAAGTAAAGCCAGTAAAAACATGGTAAAACATGGGGGTAGGTAAAAGCAGTAAAACATGGGTAAAACATGGGTAGGTAAAAGCAGTAAAACATGGGTAAAACATGGGTAGGTAAAAGCAGTATGGCTAAGTTGAGCTTTGAGACTAACATTTAAGCAGTAAGAAAAGAAAGCATCATCAATGAAAAAGAAAGGATTGAGAGAGAACAATCAACAAAGTGGGATGAGAAACAGAGAAACAAGAGTAAGTATAATCAGACAACCAAAAGGAAAGTGTTATATGCCACAGAGATCATATGTTTGCAGACCTATTAAGAGTAGAGCATTTAATTCTGGTTCCATACTGTGGGGAAAATGTTAAGTTGTCAGAGTTGCTGGAAAATGTCAGAAGTAATTTCCATCCCAAGTTGTTTTCTACCTCCAATAAAGAAAAAAATTAAAAAGAGACTCATACTGCACCTTTTAAAATCTAAATGCTTTTTAAATGCTTTTTAATCATACGACTTGCATGAGAATCACTGTAGCTGTGTGATTAAAGAATTCTCTCATTGTTTTGCTCTTTTATTTTTACGTTGAGTTCTATTTTGTGTTTGCTTTTATGTTTATTTATATAAATTTATGGGATTCATGTGAAATTTTGTTACATGCATATACTTAGTAGTGATCAATTTAGTGTATTTAGGGTGTCCATCACCCAAATATAGTACATTTTTATTAACTATAGTCATTCTACTTTGCTATCAAACACTGAATTTATTCCTTCTGTAGAAAAGCTTCATTGTTAAAAATAACTGAAGTGTGATCTTTCCATCAACTATAACTAATAATGATGTTTTCAAGCTTTTTGTAGATAACATAACAGAAGATTGCACTAAAAAGGGCAGTCTTTGAAATCAGAAACTCTGGGTTAAAGGAATCACTTTGCACAGAATAAGCAAAATTTTAAGTCAGTCAGTCACTCAATTCTCTAAGTTCTGAATTCTTCAAATGCGAAACAGAAATATTAGCCATACCTATGTCAAAGGTTCTATGAGAATCCAGTGAAAGAATGTACACAAAAAATGTTTTGTAAATATTAATAGCAAAGGACCTATGAGCCAACCATTAACACTAGTGAGTTACAATGTAACTTTTGTATCAGCACACCCTCAGGAAGAAGAAATGAGAGAAAAGGCAAGTACTTCTGTTACAAGCTTCCAAATTAAATATGTAATGGCTCAATCTCTCATCCTGTAATTACTACTGCTCTTACTAGAGTAGAAAACCAGAAGGAACAAGGAGGTATCTCATAAGATGAAGGAATCAATCACCCTCCTATAATATATGTCAGTTTCATAGCTATTTATGTATCAACACTACCATGCCACACAAAATTATGTGGAAGAAGAAAAAAATGTAGGTAGGGAGAAAAAGAGGGGATCTTATTTTGGGCTGTTAACATGTCTACCTTCTTTCCCAGTGAGAAAAATGTCTACAAAGAAAGTATTAGAAGGACTACAGCTCACATTGCACCCACTATAATATTAAAAGCTCTTTAAGGTGCTCAAGCTAACCTCTTAATGCAAGCAGAAGTTTATCCAGTATTAACCAACTGGTTCAAAGTCAAAGACAACAGAATTAAGACTTATTTAGGCTTAAGAATATTAATTAATCTGGAGGTTTGAATATGCCAAAGTGTTATTAATGTCACATTTTAGACAGGTTCAGGAAGAACATTTCCACAGTGCATTAATTTGATGCACTATTCTTCGCTAGCTTAATTTAAAAATTATCTTTATAGAGAAATTCTCAAAGTCCTAAAAATCTTGCGGCTATATTACGCAAGAGAGCCGCCCCCCACCGCCCTTAGCTTTGCCCAAATAACACCTGATTTGGCATATTTCCTTGATGAAGGCAAGTCAAAAGCTTGTTGGGAAAAAGCAACTCATAAAATGAGAGTCATTTATGAAACACAATTCTACAAATATTGTTAACATTGCTGTAATTAAGAATTCTAAAGAAAAAATGAAAAATTAAAAGAAATATACTACTACCCAAATATTATTTCAATTGTTTTGTATCTTGGCACTGATCTTAATGTTACAATGCATCATAGTGTGACTAAAGAATCACTACTTATTAAAAACAAACATCCATAACATCCAATAAATTTAATTTTTACAACCTGTAATTTTACCACAAACCAAATTGGCTCAGTGTCTCACTTTGACAAAACAAAGTTTTAAGGCAATAATATTAATGTCAATTCATGAACATATCTGATCAACCAGAATAACAAAATAATTGTTTTAAAGCAAAAAAAAAAAAAAAAATTGAGACTTTTGTTTAACCAGGTATATACTAAACAATGTTCCCAACATTTTAATCAATCTATGTAGTAACCAAGAAATCACACCACTGAATGCGTAAAAGAACACTTTATTTATACACACATGTGGGAAGACACAAAGCCACTTCCTGATCAAAAGCATTTTTATTTTAAATTGCATTTACATGTTGATTAGAGGAAATCTACTTGCTAATCATTTCATAACTAAATTTTTGAAAACCAGGCAATTTAAAACAATCACACTTATTTCTTCATGAATTTTTTTAATGTGGCAGTTATACATTTCTAGAGCACTAAATGTTTATACTTTACTGAAGCTGACCAGGTAATTTCAATACATTTCAGAATGACAGTTTACACCGCATGTTATGGAACAAATAAGTAGCATATTTCCACATTAGACATTTTTACAGACTACTTTCAATTTCTTAAAATTAATTGTAGGTCCAGGTGCTGAAAATCCCAAATAACAGCAGAATATAAAAGAAAATATTTTAAATTTCTAATGGCACCTTTCTTTCCAGTATTTCAGAAAACATAGCCAACAAATGAAATTGTGGTTTTACCTCCACCCAAGATTCTCCTTCCAATGCTTACCATCCATTCTTGCTTTGAGCAGTGACAAAGCATACAATACACTGCTTCCATCATATGACTCAGAGAGCCCTATCTGAAACAGCCTACAGAGTGTCAGGTAAGCGCCTTTTAAAGGAAGATAAATGACTATGATTTGTAGAAGGAAAGAAGAAGATAAGAACTCAATGTAAAATTTTATATTAAAAAATTTTAACTTTCTAAATGACATTATATACCAGGAAAAACAAAACAAAATTCAAAAAAAAAAGGCACTTACCTCACTTCCCATAGACTGGTTACACGATCCAGCTGGGTCGATAGGACAACACCAGCTTAGTGGATGCTGGGATTTCACCTGGAACAGAAACTAGTGACCTATAACTTTAGCAGGTCTAAACCAAAGAAGCAAAAATCAAATGTATAATTTATTTTACAGTCTAAGCTTCCTTTTCTTGCTGCTATTTGGGGCTATCAGCACATAACCCTACAATTAGTTCATTTAAAATATATATATGTAAATATATTTTGAACAATCACCGTTCAAGAAGATGTCCCTTTGGGTAGCTAGGAATACTGAACACTCTTACCTGCCCCTTAGCATCCTCGGGCATGGCTTTAATGTGCATTCTTTTTAAACAACGAATTACTCCATCATAAAACTGAACTGTAAATGTTCCTGAAACAGGAGCAAGTCAGAATCATTAGAAAATATAATTCAAGTTTACAGCAACACTTGAAATCTAACAAGTAGTGACCTGTATAGATAAATGCTTAGGAATGCAAAAACTACAAATACTCCTGTTAAGGACTCCATCAAGTTTAAGTTTACTTTCTCCCTCCCTCTAAAAACAACTCTGAACTCCTGTTTCCCCTAACAAGTACACAAATTAAGTCTTGATAAGTTAGTTCCATGTAATTCTGATTTTTACTAAGAAATTTTACAATTTTACAATAATTTAAATGTTTAGACTCATAACATAGCTGACAAAAGTAAAATCATTACTTACAAAAATATATATTTCCATAGGCATTATTACCATTTGCTCTTTGAATGTTTCTTTCAAAAGAAGTAATACAGAGAAGGAGCTGATATGCAAAAAAGATAATTTACCCTGGAAAGGATTATTCCTTGGGCAATAACAACAAACTGGAAAATAAGAATTATAGTTCTAGATTTTAAAGCTAGAAAATATTTTACAAATCAACTAGATAAAAGTCTTCACAAAGTAGCTCAGAACACTGAACTCTAGAGGAAGGCTAAATGCTATACCCAATGGCATTCACCTAAGTGGCAGGCAGCATGGCCATAATTAATATTTCCAATCTCGTCTAGTCATCCATGTCTTTCCTACAAACTCATCCTACTTGAAGGCCTCAAGATTGTTTGTCTATTATGAAGCATATTCACTTTCTGTTACAGACCCCACGCTTTCAAGTCAATATAAACCAGTCCTATTAGAAGATACATAAATTATGTATAATGCCTACTTAAGGAAATTCAAATGTTTTTCTGTCATTTCCTAGATAAATGTTCTTCTACCATTTCCCCAATTAAGGCAGAATCTCACTTTAAGTAAACAGATACTTGGTCTTTATAAAAGAATTATAAATTATAAACAAGAAATATGACGATCATTACTAATGTCCTTGGGGTTGGCACCAAAGCCAATAATATATATGTGCAAAGATTTTTGTGGGGCGTACTTTGAATAACACCATGATTTTATATCTTTCTATAATTAGCATAATGTTAAATTTCACAGATATAAAGATCTAAATTCAAGTTATACAAACAATTGATCAGGTGAATATTAAGGATGTATGTAAAGACACTAGAAATATTTTGAGAATGCCAAACTCTGCGTACACCTTGCACTCCCATCTTTCCTGCAACTTTCTGTCTTCCTTCTTCAACACAGCATTCCAGAAAAACTTAGCTTGTACACCAGGCCGTCTGGGCATCAATACCTCTCTGCCTTTGCTCATGCTGTTTCCTCTGTTGTGATGCCTTTCTCCTTTCCTTATGTATATCTAAACCCCACTCCACTCTTCAAGTACCATTCCCAAGATGAAAACTTCCCCAATACTCCAGTACACCCTGACTGGCCCCTTTTCTTCGCTTCTATATGCTATATTACAAATGCCTAAATGTTCACAATTGTTCATTTTGGTTTGCTGTTACATTGAATGGACGGCTTCTTTTGCTCTTCTGATTTTTGTCAAGGTGGGGAGGGGGCAGGACTATCCACCACTTGGGACATACAGAAATCACAGTATTAATAGCTTTCAGAAAACAAATAGTATCTGCCAATATTTCAGTATGTGTTCACTGAAACTACTCTTGAAATCGCTGGGATCACAATCAGTATCATCACTCTTCCACTAAGGTAAGCTGAATTTTCTATATTAAATGCCTGTAGATGAAAGGGATAGAATAAAGAATGAGGGTGGTTTTGTTCTGAGTGTGTGTGATATGTGTGTACTTTCATCTGCACACACACAGGGAACTTGATGCATGGAACGAAGGTCCCAAAGCTCTTAAAAGAAACTGTTATGAATTAATGTAGAGGGCAATGACCGTGTAATTTTACTTCGTTTTGGGTACATCCTATTACCCAACAGAAGAGATTTGACTTCTTCCTTTACTTCCACAAATTGTTACTGACTGTCTACTATGTGCTAGGCTCTGGACTAGACACTCAAGAGCCAACGTGAATAAGACTTGGGAATGTAAGCTCCATAACACAGCTCCACAGAAGTGTAAGTGCACAGGGAAATACAGGCCCCACTAGAAAAGAAGAAACAGCCTGCACACCTGACAACTGAGATGTCTCTCAACTCTTTCTGTAGGGGTAACCAGTGGTAAGAAAATCATAGCCATATTCATGATTTCAATTCATTAAACAATATATTGGATTAAGGTCTTTATAAAGTTATATCATGATTTCTAGCTAGACTACTATGATTTTTATTTTTCCACACCTAACATTCCTTAATATATCTCTGTTTTCTCTTCTGTCTTCTCTTACCTCCTATTTTCTCTCAAGTTTGTTGTTAGATTAAATCCTCAGCTTAAAAAACTCTTCCATGGCTCCCATCACCTCCAAATAAAATTCTAATTCTTTAGCAAGGTTACATGACACTTCATATACCAATCTTTGCCTTTCCCTCCAACCTGTACTCCAGCTATTCTATCATCTTTAAACGAATCTTTCATTCTAAGCAACCTGCAGTTCCTTAAAATGACATGGCATGCCTCTCCCACTTCTGTTATTTTCCACATATTTATTCCACCAGATCACCTTTTGATCACTTCTTTAGCTAACTTAGTTGTCTTTCAAGACTCAGTTTAAAGGAAATGTCCCCTTACTTAGATTAAATGCCCTTCTTGCCAAGAAGCTGTCACTCAATGTTTGTTTCTTTAGTAATAACAATGAATACAGAAATCCCCCTTATCCACGATTTCGCTTTCCACAGTTGCAGTCAACCGCGGTCTGAAAAGGAGTGAGTATAGCACAATAAGGTATTTCATGAGAGAGAGACAAGGGAGAGTGAGAGAGAGAGGAAGGAAGAAAGAGAGAGACCACATACATATAACTTTTATTACAATATATTGTTTGATTATTCTATTATTATTGTTAACTTCTTACTGTGCCTAATTTATAAATTAAACTTGATCATTCATATACATGTACAGTATAGGAAAAAACATAGCATATATAGGGTTCAGTAGTTTCCGAAGTTTCAAGTAGTCACTGGGGGTCTTGGAATGTAACCCCTGTGGATAGGGAGGACTAGTGTAAGTGGTCAAGTTTAAGAAATAACTTTAGTAGAAAATTAATGTATTACTGAATTAAACAAACATGTGCAAGTATTCCATAACTTTTTTAAAGGAGAAATTTAAAAAACAAAATATTCAGGTATGTTTTCAATAATAATTTAATTATTAATTCTTACAACTTTCCAAATAAGTCAGCATATGAATTCTGTTTTAAATTAATGATCTGTCCAATGATTTCCCAGTCTTCTGCAACACTAATAAGCCTAATTTCTGGGTTACTTTCAACATTTTTGATTACTTAAGTAACTTTGGCTCAGTATCTAATATTCTAACAAATATCCACAAAAAACTACTAGAAAATTAACTCAATTATCTGTAGAAATTAACGATAGGACAGCAGGGAGAGACACAATAAAGGAAATCCTCAAATTGGTAAAAATTCCATACTCTTCCCTCAGAAAATATCCTATGTATTTCACTTGTGAATTGAACTGATTTGAATTCCCCTAAATCTTTAACCTTTCTTCACACTCTTGGGTAGATGCTCATAAATAGAACTTGGTCACAAACTAGAAACAGAGAAGTAGAAATAAGATGCATCTGATATAAGCCTGTGAATTGAAAGTTGAAAAATTTTAACCAACTATTTTTGTCTACTAATTTAAACACTACTTAGGTAGCACACCATGTAGCATTTTATTCTAGACACATATAACAAATTAAATGCTCCCAAAAAAGAATACTTACAGAAAATATAAAAGTTATACATGATGATATAACACACACTAATTAAAATTTAAAATATAGTGAAATTTTACTATTAATCTAATTTTAAGTCTCAGATCATTTCAAACACATACCTTCTTTGTTAATTGCTTCAATCTTGGCAGGGTAATAGCGACAGTCTGTCCAACGAGCCAGAACTTCTTCTCCAGCTTTAAAATCCTATTTTAAACAACTTTTAAGATCAATTCCATGTATATTAAATAAGCATTTCCTTAACAAAAACAGGCTTTTGTATAATTTAACAGAATCCTTTTAAAATATGTCACGACATAGCTGGCAAAACCAGCAAACAGAAAAAATCTGCTACTTACAAAGAAATCTTCCTCATCTTTTAGCCCTTCTTTTCTTAGTGCCGGTCTCTCAAGGGGTCGCAATCTATTGCTGTCCCAGTAAATCCACTCATCGTAACGATGACTCCAGCGCTCAAAATGGACCAACATCTTGCCCTCCTCATAGTCAATTTTTTCAATTCGTGATGGATACCTCAAAAGTCAAAATGCTTCATATCAAGAGAAAATCCTTATATTTGTACAAAGTATTATACATAGAAGACTTAGCTGAACGTTGCTTACCATTAAAACCATGAACAAAACAATAAATACGTCCATATTTTAAAACTAATCAAAAAAGTCTGCTTGTCTTTATAAATGATTGTACTCAAAATCTGAATAAATTCCTTGATACACTCCCAGTAGAAATATAAATGACTGCACTGTTTTGTGAAGTAATGTGGTGACATACATCAAGAACCTTAAACATATTCCTACTTTCTGACCCAACAATTCCAATTCTGGAATTATATACAGAAAACATTATTTGTAATAACAAATAAAGTGGAAACCATCTAAATATATGATTGGAAAAACTGAAGATTGTCTAGAGCTATGCAAACAATGATATATACACTGAATGAAATATTATGTAGTCACTGAATGTGGTGTTTACAAAGAATTTACAATGTGGGGAAAATGTAAAAAATAAGCACTCTACTTAGCATAAATATAAATATGTAAATTTTGTCTAGCAAAAAATACATCAGCATGTACACTGTCTTTATATGGCATAAGCTCACTTTCTTATTTTTCTGTATTTATCAATATTTTATAAAGAGCAACAATGATGGTAAGGCTCAGTAAAACCTTAAATTTAAAAATAAAATATTTCATTGTTCTGTCTTGATGTGTGATAATTCTGTAATTCCAAAATAGGAATTCGTTAAAACTTTTTACAAGGAAAGTTGCTTCGTCATTCTTAATGTACTGTATTAAAATGTTAACAGATGACTCAATTTTTTTTAAAGCATGATTAAATAACATTCAGAACTCAATAGCAGCACACAGTGGATGATTCAACCATACAGTTTATCCCATATTCTTGCTAGTTTTTGCTAAATTCAGAATCTTTGTTTTCCCTGTGGAAAACTAGCTTTAAATATAAAGTACAATGGACTTTATATAACTTTGAAATGTAGGAACTGATTACTACCTAATTTATAGCTCAATCTTGCTATTCAGAGTTTTTTAGACATTTCAAGGATCATTCTCTGGTAGAGCTTCTTCCATCTTTGACATTCAACTCCACTTTGATCTAATGATATTGAGCTCTTGGATTTTCCTCAAACATACATGGCTCTGTGTCAAGTATTCACACATTCTCTCTGTGTCAAGCATTCACACATTTGTGCTATTCTCCATTCTATTCTTTCTGCAGAGCCCTAAACTACCCTTTCCTTCCTTTGTATACAAATCACTGCAGACTTGGTCAAACACAGAACTGCTTGTGTGAAGACTTCTCTAACTCCTGGGGCTCCTGCTGCTCTGACAGCACTCATCTCATTATAGCTGTACATCATCTCTGCACAGGTTCTCACTCAAACTGGGTGCTGCAGAACATTTATATCTCTTGGAACACTGATATGTGTGTGGCACCAAAAAAAAAAGGGTGTTGTCAAATAAGCTAGGGAATTACTGGATTAAAAACGTTAGGTTGTATTCTTTATTGAAAGACTTCTTGGTGCAGTCAGCGAGATGGAGATAAGGCATTCAGTGTTACTAGATTCAAGAAAATATGTAACCCCTTTTATCATGAAAATGTATTAACATTTCTTGAGATAGCAAATAGCTAAGAAAGATGAGGTTAAAAACGTTACTCTGGCCGGTGAGCTTCTGGAGACAAACAGTCATGTTTACTTTTGTAGTCCCCTAGCACCATGACAGGACACAAAACTGCTATTCAGGGAATGTTTGCAGGAGTAAGAAGCAGCTTTAAAGAAAGGCAATTTGCTCATTTCTTCAGAACAAAGAAGGCAGTTGACCAAATTATAGCCTTGTTAGATGTTAGTCTTTTGCGGGGAGTAAAAAGAAAGGCATAAAAACAAGAAAACTTAGGAGATTAACATACTTCCTGAGGTGGACGTGCCTACCCCACCCACTTAGAATCAATTCTGTAATACTTGTCTTTTGCAGCGTTTCTCTGGTTTTGTTTTTGTTGCCCTGGTTTTTAAAACATAAAAATTATCAATAGCATTAAGAAAAACCTAGAACAAGGTTGTTCTTTATTTTTCAACCTTCACTAGCCATTAAAGTACTATAAAAAGATATTCTATCAATTATAAAAATTATTAAGTTTCTCTCAAAACATAAACACCTCTAATTTCATGTGCTTAATTTGTCTTATCATTTACATTTTGAATAAAAAAATAAGTTTATTCTTTAGGTTCCTTCATATTCTAAATATATACAACTCTATATATTTGAAACACTTCTCAAAGTGAGAATAGCCCACAGTAACAGAGTTAAACACATCTTTATTTTCACAACATGACTTAATTCAGTAAAGAATCAGCATCTAAGTGAGTTCAAATAATTTAAATCTGGATTGCATTTTAAAGTGACTTATGGTTTTTCTAAAATATTTTAAATTATTCTGGCTGAGATGCCTGATGCAACAACCAAAATGAAAATTATGTTTTGGGGATCCTCTTTAGGATAAGTCATAGCATGCTGTACTCTCTACATAAATATCTAGAAACCGATACGTACACTTGGGATGAAGGCCAAGAATTAAATAAGTAACACAAATACCCCAGATTCTTCTCTATTTTAATTTTTATCATGTTCACTAATCAAATTTTGAATCTTAAAAGGTGTTAGAAATATTACCATTATCAAAAA